TATAAATTACATTAATAATAGCTCACATCTATAATGCGCCTAATACTTTGTTTCTAGGCGCAGCACATATTATTACTCCGGTCATCGGATTCAGGCTAACCCGCAACACAATGTATGCACATTTTCCACTCCCTGGGGAGCATTCCAGCCGGTCGCCATTTTACAAGCGCCACTTGCTTATCCAACCACATTAACTTTCGCATCCTACCGGGTACCCATTAACACCTAGGTGGAGAGTGGCAAATAAAGATCAATGTTTGGCCAAAGGACATTAGTCCCGCGGCGGGATTCGGACCTCGGACCTCGGACCTTGTGATCCACAGTCCAGTGACATATCCACTCGACCACGACACCTCTACAACATTAGTTGAATTCCAATAAGTAGCCTACAGGAAGTCATCTATCACATTATTATCGGAAATATTGCCACAGAGCGTCGTATATAGAGTCATGGTAAGGTCATGACGGATATCGTGATAAGGAAAATGCAATGTCAGTCTCTCAGAGGTCTAATCAGAGTAGTGATTGAAGCGATTTGGCTCACACCTGAGCAAGAGTCTATCACAATCCTGATACGTCAAGGGGATTATGGTGGTGTTAAAATAGGATAACAAATCTCAGTGTCGGAGTCGGAGTGAAAAAAGAAGCGTCGTTTGCAAAAGAAAGTATGATGTGTCCGTCAGAAAAAGAGTGGTGTTTTAAAAGAACATCGCGATGGAGGAAATTCTCCTATGAAGTCACTTCAGTATCATTATTTAATGGCGGATCCAGGGGACTGAGAGCACGTATCCCCTCCTCCCCGGATAAACCTTGTCAGCATTGACATATAGTACATGTAATACCCAGTCAAAGTCACTCAATCAAATAGACCTGTTTCCAAAAACATGTAGTCCTTAAGTTATCGTGAAAATCAATTAATTTTCTATACCCCCCCCCCCCCCTCCCTTCCTTCCTTCCTTACCCTTGGGCAAGAGAATACTGGATCTTCGTGCCAATGTTGTTGTTGAGCTTGACATGTCCTTTCGGTTCTCTCGGGAAGAGGAATCGAACAAGCGCCGCTTAACGAGGTCTAATTGTGTAAATGTCCAGGATAAACGAAGTCTTACGATTATGACAGTTTCGATATTGAAACCGTCAACGTACAGGGTCATTTCAGTTGCAGCTGAGACAGAGTCGATTACGATCCCGAAACATCTTACTCTTGGCTGATTTTTAAACTGATTCTGGTGAATTCTCAAACATTAACATTGCGGGTTGAGAGTTCAGTGTTTTAAAAAAAATCCATATTTTTTCATTGCAGGAATGTCACGTTGATGTCGTCATGTCAAATTATAATATCAGTCGTGGATCAGCAAAATGAATTTGATTCTTCGTTAGTGTGCGTAAAATAATAGATATGTCATGTCAACATAGGTCCTACTGACATTTACCACTATATAAGTCATGAAAAATGTCTGTGTCGGCTGAAGAAGAAAAAATCCTCAGTGTCCGTCGGACTTTCTTAAAATTTAAATAGCGTCTACGAGTCTATGAGACAGTAAAGACAGTCGAAGATACTGTGATTCAATGAGTTTAGAAAGTCCGAGTCTCGTATGCTTCTGGTCTATTTAAAAACAAACTGTTTAATCGTTATATGGTGTAATCGAGCAAATGAGTTGATGGGGGTTTTCTTAGCAATGTCACCTGGTCACGTCCGACTAAGCAGTATGTCGAAAACCTGAAAATATTCTGGTTTTTCATGTTGTGGTTCAATTTTCACTCTCCTCGTGTGATACAATTTACTATTCTGAATGGTAATTGTAAGAATAATATTCCTTTTAAAGGGTGCAAAAAACAAATGATCATAAACGCTAGAGATATGACATATAAGTTAAAGATTGCAAACCTTCGAGGCTTGAATCTAGTCAGAACGCCATTGAAGAGATGTCTGTAATCGTCTCGGTCAAGAATGAAACAGACCATTGAAACGTTTCGTCAGTTATGGTCGCTTCTCAAGAGAGAAGATTATGCCAAAATGCTATCAGAGATGTCGGGTTTTTTTGGTGTGCATCAGTACAAAACGGTAGCGGTGTCGCTTTATTCTAACCGTATATCTGTCTAGTTTTGTCCCACTTAAAACGTCACGTGACAAGTAAAATGTTTCCCAGTGTTTCGGTCAAGAAATTCATTGTTTCCCTCAGTTCGTTCTGTCCAATGTCGATAGTTCACAGAAATGTCAAAGGGTGCGATTACGTTTAATTGGGGAAATTTCTTTGTCAGTCGTCAGTACAAGTCATGGATATTCATCCTTAACACACATCATGAAATAATTAGTTTGCAAGCGCATTATTACAATCATTAAGATTAGGCGATGTATGGGCACTTCCGACGAGTTTACCCAAAAAACTACTTTTCCAGAAAATAGTAGTGACTTATTCAGGAAAGACGTCACGGTCATTAATCGATGCGTCTCAATGATGCGCTGTGTAACATTGTTACGTCATGAAACGTCATAAGCGTCATCATTTTGGTGGTAGTTACCATAATATCAATTTCGCAACATTGCGATAAGTATCTTAGCTGTAGTTTGTTGTCTTTGTCATGTGGGGTGCATTATTATTACAAGATTATCATAAGCTCTTCTTTGTATTTCAACAGAAAGTGAATTAAAGTAAAAGGGTGAAAAAATTATTTCTTCTCATACAACATATAAAATTATTTTTAAAAAATTGTTAAAAACGTTTTTCTAAGTAAAATCATTCTTAAGGTAACTGAACAAATGACATTTGGTGCAGCTGCGAGCACATCCAGTTGTCCGTATCATATCAGTGGAAATTTGGGGTGGGCTGCTGAATTTTTCATATGAGTCATAAGCAATGTAAAAATTCACTGTACCTCATCCCTCAGCTAGTTGTCGGAAAATGCTCGTGATAAGGTTCAGAAATTATGAAGGTTAAGTTATAATTCAGCCTTGAGGTCATTAAGTTGCGTCTTTCAGTTCGTGTGTCATTTTTGCCGTCGTCGATTATATCCAAATAGTATATATTTAGTATTATCCAGTTGTTAATTCCATAATCTATTAATCCCTCAGTCAGGTCAAGTTGAGTCAATAGTAAGTAAAATAACCGTCTATTTAACTAAATCAATGGATTGTCTTACTACTAAAAATATTTAAGTATTTATATCAAATGAATGCACCTGAGAGCTGACTTTGGAGTCCCATACAACCTCAGGTTAAACCAAATACTGGCTATTATTGCCATACTTTCTTTTTCTCTATCTGTCTGTCCAGGCGCGTACGCAGGATTTTTTCAAGGGGGGGGTTAACATTTATAAATCGGGCCGAAAATTTCGCAACGACTCAGCAAGCCGCTGAATAAGCGGGGGGGGGGGGAGGGGGTGGTGGTAAGAGGACACTTTTTTTTTTTTTTTGGTCTCGAAATTTGAAAATTTGACATTTTGCTCCGTTGGGGAGGGGGGTGAGGTCAGCTTTTTTACGTCAGCAATGGGAATTTTTTTTTTTTTTTTAAATAAATAAAAAAAAAAAAAAAAAAAAAAAATCCAAAGGGGGGGGGGGGGTTAGGGGGGTTATGAGGGGGGGGGGTTACACACACAAAATACCAAAGGGGGGTTTAACCCCCCAAACACCCCCCCCCCCCCCCTGTGTACGCGCCTGTGTCTGTCCGTATGTCTGTCTGTCTTGCTTTCGTTAATTTGTTACTATCATTCTTTATTTAATTTCTGTTTTGTTTCTTACCTACACATGTCAATTATTTCAAACGTAATATTAAGTACTTTTCTACTGGTGGTAAAGTGAACACAAACTTTAAGTCAAGATTGGGTCCTTCGTCACAACAGAGGTCTGAAGTAGTCACTTTGTCAGTTTTTCAGTGCGATACGTCACTTTATTGCAAACGTTTGTTTATTTTGTCGTTGTAAGTTCATATTTGAAACTGGTTACGTCCCAATCGTCATAAATGTAATGTTCAAATGAGGCAAGAGGCAAGAGGCCTTCTCCGTTTTGTCAGTACGTCTGTCAGTACTCGTATGAGTTTGTCGGTTGTCACACTGTGAAATGTTGTGCGTACACGTCAGACAGTAAATCGTTCTTTACGTATTGGTCGGTACGTTTCAACACAACGCCATCCTCTCCCCCTTCCTAACTCTGTTCCTCATTGAAAATAAAATTTAAATTAAGCATTCATTGTCCAATCGAAAAATAAATTTTCACTGGCAAAATGTTAAAGATCAATTTACAAAAAGAATAACCGTAATCATAGACAGTTACAGTATTATTGTAAAATACATTCATAATTAAAAAAATGGAAAATTTACTAGGGATTCATAAAGTGGAAACATAATTTAAAGGAAATAAATCGTCGCTGTTTTCACGAAGTGACGGTAGTGAAAACAAATTGCATTCACTTTGCGTGACGATTTTCCTCCCTACCGTCACTTCGTGAAAACAAGGACGAAATATTTATACGCGCTGAGGTGAGGTGGCAGCTAACAGAATATCAAAAATTTGATAATCCTTATCTCGGACACCTACGTTAATTTGTGACCCATGATTATAAATCAACCTCTGTGATTAAAGCGGCAAACGAGGTATAAAATAGATTTTGGATTTATATAAAACAATTGTCTCAATAATTGTATTATTATTTCATAATTGCCAACGATCACAATGGCACTTTCACAGCATACATGACACAGTAAAGTAATCCACAGTCTTTTAAAGTACATTTAGTGTAAACAAAAGTGGACAAAACAGATACATATCGAAATAAACGAAAATGAAAAACTCTTCCAACAGTTTGTCAAAGAAAACCTCAAATAAAAAAATCAACATCAAAACTAGTAGCATTCGCAACAAAACATTTGCATATTCAATTTTAGAAGACAGCTTTAGCTAGAAACAACCACACAAACAACACACAAGAAACCAAAGTTCACGTTAACCTTTATAAAAATGCTATATATATATATAAATCAAATTATAGTATACAAGCCTGAGTATGATATCGGATAGCCATTGCACCAGTGCAACTGACTCCGCAAGCGAAAAATAGAGAGACAATTTTACTGATTTTGCCGAAAGAGTTTTTAAAATACGTTTTCTCCAATGATATGCTCTTGATGACTTGTTTCATCGTGAACGTGACAGTTCTGTATACGTCACTCAATCAGATAATCATTTATATTGGGAAAGAAGGATACCTTTCAAAAAAGGTCAACGCTATTTCTTCAAATCATAACTTTCCAAATGCCTAGAACTTTGTAGTATCTCGGTACAAAATACTAAACATTTCAGAAAACAAATGGCTCTTACCATGCTTAACTATTCGGTTTATGATGTTTTCCCTTTTCTTTCTTTTTTCTTCTTTGCTGCAGCAAAGCATTTTTTGAATTTGTTCCATCTTCTATTTAACGAATGACCACTTAAAGTCTAATTTATACCACTACACTAAACACGGATATGGATGTCAAAAGTCAGACATTCGAAAGAAGCTTAAGAGCATATACAATAATGTTGAGGTTTAACTCAGATATTCATAAGAAATAAATCTTTTAGCAAAGAAACAGAGGCAAAGATTTGGCTGTTGAAAAAACGGAAAACATACAATCGAAAAATTGATGACTAGCATTTTTTTGCATTTCATACATCCGATGACTTAATAGAAGTAAGTACCCCTAGTATTTCATTGGGTATGGTAACAACATGGTCCCCCTCCCCCCATCGAGAAGGATTGTTGTTTCGAGAGTCACGTGATTCTGGAGCATTATCGCCTTCTGCGAGGGTCCTGTCGTCAAAGCGAACACTTCTTTTCACACTTTCGAGCGGCGAGACATCACTTTGCGTGTGAAGCCGATCACTCGAGAGATTGTTTCTATGACCTTCAGCGATCCGTTGTCCGCGGGAAGGATCCCCGTGAGACGGCCCAACCTCACCCGTCGGCAACACTTGCAGAAGATCAGGGTAGATTTGGTTGAACGAACCGCCAGCGATGTGTGTATGTTGTTGTCTATCGACACCTAAGAATCTCGAGTCACCTCCCGAGTTGGTCGATGACGACGATGGTCGTGAAGAACATTGTTTCTTATTGATGGTTTCGTCGCTGAACGAGCGACGAACTCTAAGAGGAAGCACATTAGCCTGAGGTTTGGAATCGCTTTGTCCCGTCGCCGTGCCCTTTGAAGCGGATGCACCCTGTCCAAGGGGCGGGCGCGGGTTAGGAAGTGAAGAAGGAGCATGCGTACACTCTCCTGATGCACCTGTCCTCTCATTAGGTTGAGAATTTTTCATAATTGACCTTTGACCCTGTTTACCTGCACCACTGCAACTCGCCGCCGGTATCTCCATTTCCACATCTACAGAAGATTTCGAGGGTCCGTCTCTATGTTTCATCTCCCCACCCCTACTCGGTGTCCTAGACGGTTTTAAGCATCCCATGGCTCTACTCGCTTCCTGAGCTTGACTTAATCTCTCCTCCAATGCCTTCTCCATGCTGCTATCCCCTTCCTCCACGGGCGAGGCTTGCTGTTGGGGGATGGCGTCACATTGGTTGAATTCCCATAACGATATAGCGGCTGCTTGCGTTTGGACAGCAGCCTGTCCCGCTGTACCGCCTTCATGTGTTTGGTGTTGTTCGGTCTCTTTCTCCTCCTGAGAGCGGAGAAGATCCCAGGAGACTTCTCTCGATTCTTCTCTCGCGACTTTTCCCGTTGAGACGATCCAGTCAAAGGACTATTATTCTTCTTGCGGTTTCCCCTTACACCGACAGCGTTCCTGTCGCCTCCCAAGAGCTTCTCACTGATGAAGAGACAAGAAAAATTTAAAGAAAGTGATACAGAAGACAGATGAGTAAGCATGCTCTCTAAGATGAAGATGATTGAGGAGGAGTAGGAAAATGAGGGTCAGGTAGTTTGTAAAAACATGATGATTATTTTGACACGAAATCCCAAGTCTCGTAGAATGATCGATCACTCGCCATCAGGCATGAATATCCTTTTGAAAACCCCTTTATCTATGGTATATGCAGGACATTGTCTCGTATATTATTTCAAGATAATACCAGATCATCGTCGTTTTAATGCAAAAAGGAAAAGTAATGAACATGATATCATAAGAGTTTGACAAACATTATAGGCTATAGCAATGACTGAATAACATTTATCAAAGAACTCTTAAACATTGTTAAATTTGTCAGGACTATAGATGCTGACTGGTAGGGACAAAGCTTAGGTTTAATCCAATATGAAACATACGGCATTGCAAAAATTACGTTGAAAGGGACACGCATCTGAAAAGTAAACCCTGGCCCAAGCTTACTCTTATTTGAATTTATGTAATTACACAAAATCATGACTGTTCTCTTTCATCCATGTACTTGCCTTTCATCGTCTTTATGAGAATACAATTTTGTGTGCAGCTACAGAAAAGCTTAAGTAGGGCACTGGGTATTTTCTATTATTAAAAAGAGATGGCAATTCCTATTAAAAAATATCAAAATATAATGTTTAACTGAAGGAAGTACTTACTTGCAACCGTCTAAGGTGCCATTGCTACTACTGTTGCTTCTACAAGGAGCTGATTCATTGAAGCTACCAACATGCATACGGACGAGGTTAGATGTCGTCATGGAACTACGTCGATTTCTCTCTGGTTTCAACAAGATAATGTACGTCTTAGGAAAGAACAGACAGCCTAGGGTTACTGTAGCGCTGAGGGTGACTGCGAAACAAACCACAATCTCTTTTAAGTCACTCCCAAAGTAGAGAGGGATGAAGGCTAGCCAGACTATACAGGTGGTGTACATGGTAAATGCGATATATTTTGCTTCGTTGAAGTTCTCTGGAAGGTTCCTGGTCTTGAAGGCATACAGCGTACAGAGTGAGATGAGAAGTGCGTCGTAGCCCAATGGCGCTGCGAACCCGAATGTGGTCGTGTTACAGATGAGCCGGACGCGACGCAGGTCGGGGTAGTCGAGCACAGCAGCGGGTCTCTCTAGAACCAGGGTTGCCACAATGATCCCGATTTCGAAGCTGATAACGCCGAACGTCATCACGACCTGCGCCGTGCTGCCCAGGAAGCGAGGTTTCCGCGTCAATATCTTCTTCTTGCTCCCCGCCAAGATTCGCGCCATGCGGTTGGTCCGTACGACGAGTCCCGCGTAACAGATGCAGAAGCTTAGCCCTAACCCGATGCGTCTGAAGTAACAGACTTCCGTTGAGGGTTTAGCGATGAAGGGGAAAGTCACGAGGAAGCACAGGTAGATGCCAGCGAGGAGGATATAGCTGTTCTCACGGCTGGAAGCCTTGACGAGTGCGGTGTCGTTGTGACGAATGAAAGTGACGGTTACAAAGACGGTCAAGAGAATACCCACGCATGAGAAACACATGGCAGCGATCGCTTGGACCTCATGCCACTTCATGTACTCCGCCTCAATCTCATAACAACCTGTTTCGAGAGAAACGAAGGAAGAAAAGTCAGTGTCTGACAAATTACAATGACCTTAATGACACTGGCATGTTATGACGCTAATCATTAAAAATAAATGCAAAGGTCTTAACCCAACGAACATTGTAAAATTAGTGATTAATTATTCATACGTGTATCTTAGGGTCTATGGATTACACTTCATAGTCCAGTAATCTTTTCAGAAGATCGTGCTAAATGAATTAGGATTGGAGTTAAGAATATGTTATGTATAAGAACTCATTTGTCAAAGACAACGCCTAGCTTAGCATACGACAATTCTGTGCTTGAATATCTCTTTTTACCGAGACTAACCTACTCTTGTTTCTATGAGTACACTGTTTGACTCAATCTTATATTATTTTGTCTGCATGACCAGAAAACGAGAGAACACCGAGGTTACTACGACATTGCTATTAAAGTATATTCAGGTCCTGCCATACTTGATACTAAGACCATGAAGTCAACAGGGGGAAGACGGGGAAAGACTGTGTAGTACAATGTGAAGAGAAAGTGAGGTAGTGAAGAACATAATCATTATTTTATCCAATAACATCGGGATATAATTTTCCCTTTTGCAACTTCTAGATGCAAGATTTTGCAGTTAACCTATATTTCGGATTAATGAAATAAAGGAAAATATGAAAAGCCTTGAAATTAAATTAAGGATACTTGTGAAAAAAAGTGATAAACTGCTAGTGTTTTGCCTTCTTTATTATCTGTTATCAAATTAAAAGATGTATTCCAATACTGTCTTTGATATCACCTTAATCCAAAAATCCGTGTTAAGATTGCAATATTAAATGGGGCGATCAATTAGACTAATAGATGGAATCATTTTTCCTCTCTCATAATGACAAAACCAAACGACTTTGACTTCTACAAACTGATTTCGTTCCATCAATCTTTAACACAGTCAAAGTGACTCAAGTCTCGAAATAACAGATGGGATATTCCAAGCATAGGCGAAGATCGAGGAGCAGGCGGCAGAATAATTTCGATAATATGTCACAACCATTTCCATCACAATTTCGTGTAGAAGGCGGTTTATGGCACAAATCGAGGTGCTGAGATGATCTAATTTTATAGACACGGTGTTTTAATTATTTTACACCTTGCCCAAAATGTGAAGAAAAACGGGCCAAGTACTGCACCATAAGAGATCTGTTTTTGAATTGCTTTTGAGGTCAAGGTTAAAGGCCTATATACATCACGTCAACATGATGTATGATTTTGTAAAATCCATGAGTAAAGATGATCCACAAAGACACAATTTCGAGGTCATTAATTTTTTTTTACATATAAGAAGCATGTATTTTCATTATCGGGTTGATGGAATTAAGCTGGTATAATTGGACAGACGGAATCATAATGAAATATTTATTACATGACTTGTAGCGGAAGAAAATTGATTAGATGTAGCGTCACCGTATTGATAGGTAGACATTTTCTCGCAGTTTTGATCATAGTACTACGAGTTTTTCCATAAACACGAACGTCCTACTTTGAAGAGTATTTATGTCAAGCGATACTGCTGTGAATGTTTCTTTACAAAATGCTATCCAAGTTTACGGGTAATATCCTATAGGCTCCTCAATAAAAAAAATCGTGTGAAGAGGAAACATGAAGAAGAAAATCTTATCAGAAGTAGAATCATAGAACGTCAATGAATCTTAATTAACGAGAAAGAAGATGTAATTTCTTACCGCCTAGTTGTGGGTTAGGCCACCATCCTTGCCCACACGCTTCACATGTATACTCGTTCAGCATGTATTCATTATCCTTGCACGGTACACAGGCCCAGCAGCACTCCACGCTATCACGAATATTCTGTCAAAATAACAAAAAATGTTAGATTCATAAAAGATACAATCAATCATAAGATTTGTTTATTCGTCTGTCCCCTCTCTTTCTCCACCCCCTCCCCTCTCTCCCTCTCTCTCTCTCTCTCTCTTCTTAGTTGTCCTCTGTTTTCGCTATCCCCCTATTCATCAGCATCTTTCCTCCTCTTCGTCTTCTTCTACTTCTTTTTCTTTTCCTTCTTCTTCTTTTGTTTTCTTGTTATTATAATTCGTCTAGTTCTCCTAGTGCTGTCATTCAAGTTTTATATGTTGGACGATTTATTTGCATTTGTATCATTCTGAAAAAGAACTATCGGGATTTGTATTTCCTGGCTCTCCCCCTGAAAGGACATTGATACTCACGGCAGGGTCGGGGTTAGCTGGAAACATATACCCAAGATGCCCTTTCTTCCCAATAAATAAACATTCTTAAGTCATCAGTATTCAACAGAAAGGTCATCTTGCTAAACACGGTCGTGATGTTCGTTCTATTATTAAACGAGTATATAAAATGTTCTTTGCTTATGTTTTTGTTCGTTTGTTTAAAGAGCGTACGTTCGAATCTGATTCACTACCAAGAACGTTTATTTTTTAATCTTCCTGCCATTTGTATACATTTCGAAAGACAATATTAAAACGAAGGCAAACTTCATACTGATGCATATGCCCCCTCCCCCCACCCCCCCCCCCCCCACTGGTTAGGTGTACATGACAGAAAGAAAAAAAATTACAAAATAATTAGGAAAGCATAGCTTAATCACATCATCATCATGAAGAAAAATTAAAAGTTGTAACATTTTGGGGGGGTTGGCAATCCGATTTTATTGGATGTCATAAAACCCATGGTGAATAGTGTTTTTATGCGAGGACAATGCAATTATCTGATAACAAATAATCAATTATCTTATGCATTCCCCACACACTGAAAAAATATGAATGCTAAAAGAACGTATCCTCAAGATATAGCATGCCTAGAGTAAATATCAAACACGCTTTTTGTTTTTTATCGACAAATAATTTGGTTAAGTCACAATGAGACAGACAATGAACTCGACAGGTCTCGTTTATTATCCTACTGTGACTTAAAATGCGTGCGGTGCATATTCACTCAGGCACTCACAAACATGTATTATTTGTATAAAACAACTTTTTCTTTAAAACAATAAAGCGTGGGATCACCAGTGAATCCTGTTCACGTAATGCGTGTCCTCTTAGGAGTTTCAATTAATTAAGTGTATTGACATTTATGTGCTCTGCTTGACTAAACATGCCATTAATCTTATATCTGTGCAGAATTAATTGGAAGTATACACCATGAAATTAAATCGCATTAATTAGGTCATTTTCGGCGAAAAGACACCCATTTCGTGTCGCCAATTCCCAAGCGAAAGATGTCATCTAAGCTAACCGGTGGAGAGGAACTGCGATCGTGCTCTTCTCATCAAAAGTAATTAGATACAAACACGAAAATCAAGCGGCGACCATACTATTTTCTGATTTGTGTGCATTGTTTACATTCTTAAAAAAATTAAATGGCGCCGTAAGCTAATTTTTCTTTATACAAACGCTTTGAGATCTTAAAAGGAATAACCCATTTAAAGGAACTATTTGCCTAGTGTACATGGTCTAATTCAATTTATTGAACAATCTCTAAAAATGTTTATGTCTGTATGTTTATTCACATGTCTCCCTTTTCGACCGTCTTGCTTCTGACTTTATGAGCCTGTTTATCGCATCATTTATCCAATTACGTGTGTGGGTGCGTATGTGGGTGTAGATTTTTTCTCTCTCATTTATATCATTAAGCTTTTTTCGATGTGGTACCATGGTTACTAAGAAATTGATCTTTAATTTGATATTAAATAACGCATTTCAATGATTAAATTTCATTCATTGAAAAAAACTTTAATGTCTGATGCTAGGGGACATAAGATGCAGTATCAAAATTGACCACAAAAAGATTAATATTGGCAATTAATGCATAGAAACAATTATGTAATATGCGCCATATAAGAGTTGAACATTATTAGTATTATTATTATTAGTATTGTTAAAAAGCCAGCCAGTGTTATCTTTCTGTGGTTAATAATAGTTTGGGAATTTGGGATAACAATGTATGAGCATGGAATTCAGATTTTGATGTATCCGATGGTGTATCATTTCAGAATCCTTAGCCTTCAAAACTCCTTGCATTCCGGAAAAAATGGCTCAGACTTCAATGATCGCAAACATTAATAATCCCTATGATACAACCAACAACTTCTAAGATTTTAATCCTACTTTGGTATGTATCACTGAAGAAAAAAATCTTTGCTTTACTTTTCTCTATATTTCCACTAATGCTTCTATGAGTTTTAGCCTTCTTCTCGATGCAATGTATCCTCGGGGGACGGAAACAAGGAATCGCAATATAGGCTAATCCATGCATCTTGATAGCGATCCGTCTATTCAGCACGTTACTTTAACCCTGCCACTGCCAGAGGGGTGCATTTAACCCAACTTTTCATACGAAGATACTGATTATGGATTCGTAAAAGCAGACTATCCTTTCCATTCATCCTTCCTCAGAAAGTGCGTTCACATATGATTCTCTTTGCATTATTCAGAAGCTTTTCTGACACTGCAATCTTTCCATGGGCTCGCGTATATTCCGCTTGAATCGTATTTCACTTCAGTGGCGCATTTACTTTCCGATGCGATAATACTGCCCGAGTGTGAACATACATCTCAAATCGAAACGCCATCCAAGATCAGATGGAACTTTCCTATTCCAAAGATGGCATTTTACAGACTATAGCACTGCCGGATTCAACGGCTTTTAAGGGATTATCTTAAAAGCTAGAATCATCTGTATTGATTTGACCATAAAGATTCTGAAAAGTAATTCATCTTTTCAAAGGATATCTCTACAGCCACAACCTCATGAATAACCATATCAGTTTTATGGCGTCGATTAACAATAGTTTATCAAAAAGGGGTTAGTAGCACCATCAGCAAAACAATGATAGAAGGAGATCAGAAGTCATTGTAAACTATAAGATAAAAGCATACAGGCATGCCACAACAAAATGTTCACTTTAATCGGTTCGAAATGACAGAACTGACACATGACCTGAAAAATGTAAGGAACATACACTTCTTTTAGTTGAACTTCCAATGGAATATCAAACGACAAATGACTTAAAAATGAAACCAAATAGTCCAACAATTATGTTTACAAAATAATAGTGCATATAGCTACATGAGTACTTTAACAAAATATTATCGTATCTCATCTATGAATCCGTTTATACGAAATATATTACATAAAGAAAACGATTGTGTGATAGTTGAATCAAATAAGATCTTTTGTTTTCCCCCTACTAGTCAAGAAGGGAAATATATGTATATGGGGGTAAGAGGAAATATTGTGATAACTTACTTTGGTTAACAAAATAAATAACTGAAATGACCTTTCTCAGTCGATAGGATTTCTTACAGCAACTGAATTAACATTTGCTCTTTGAAGATTGTTTCTATAAAAAAACAGCAGTATATCAACTGTATTAGCTAGATAACGCAACCTTTTACCAAATTGATGTGCATTTCAAAGTCTCGCATGACTTTTATCGGCTGTAGCACACAACACCGCCAATCTTCGTGAAGAGCCGGAGATAACAATTATTTGTTAACGAGCGTTTCTACTGAATGAAAGCTCTATCCATCATGGCACTCGTCGATTACGGCACTATTTCCGATCATCGTGAAAGTAAGTGATATTCAATACGGCAATTTTCAAGCCGTTACATAAAAGCATTATGAAATGAAATGCAGCAAAGAAGATTAAACTTTAAGCAAACAACATTAAATTATAGTAAAGTTAGCCATAACTATTAAAAGTCTTTTGATTGAAAAGTTATTGTAATTTATATCCAATAGGCCCAGTACATCTATCGCTATTTCGGTTTAGTTGGCTTCATTACAGTTTGTTTGAATTCGTGATACTTTGACCTTCAATTCTACTCTACTAAATTTAGATACAAAATGAAAGTAACAAAAACCTATACATTTTAGATGTCTATTCATGTCATTAGTTGTTGTTCTTGTTGTTGTAAGATGCTATTGAGTCGTCCTCGACTCCTGTTGACCCCATGGAGAAACCCTCTCCAGAGGCTTCTCTATCCTGTGCAAGTATGATTCTTCTGTTTTTTTGGTCACACCTTCTATCCATCTAATCATTTGCCTCCCTCTTCTCATTTTACCCTTTACCTTGCCAAGCATGATATCCTGCTCCATACCAATTGACCTTACATTGGGTCCAAAGAGTACACATCTCTATTTTACAACCATGGCCTCCAAGGAACAGCTTGTTTTTTTTGCCAGAACTGGTTTTTAGCTCATCAAGCATTGATATGTTTGTTCTCCTGGCTCTCTCTCTAATTCTGTTATATTCTCCTCCGAAAAGAAGAAAATTTTACTCTTAATTACATATTTCTTCTGAAAGTGATTTAAAAATTGGGAACGTAAACATTTAAATTTATTTTTTTCTGAATTTCTTCAAAATGTATAACAAGTATACAGTAAACAAAATTCAAACCTTTTATTACTAGATGGATATCAGTCTATTCTCAATAATATATTCATAGATAGTATGATAGTTACGGCATGTATTATAACCCATTGGTGGAGAAATCATTTGCAAAATTAAATAAAAGAATTGAATCCTTCCACGGTTTTATAGTTTTTCCCTTCAAGGGCAAGGAATATTGTAGACTCAAATTAATAGCGGCAGTCAAACGGCATTGATGCCCTGTGTAACCTCTCCTTAACAAGATTACATCCCTTTCCAATGGCGCCACCGACGAACATTCACACTGAATGAAATCACGTGATTAGTTATAGATGCCACATTCACAAATGTAAAAGAAGTCAACATTTTCAATAACATTTTCAATGACATTTTGAGCCATCAAGAAATGTTTGTGTTTTCATTTTATTATAATTATATTA